GGGACCACAGGCGCCCGCCACAACGCCTGGCAATTTTTTTAATATTTTTTTTTGGTTGCAGCAGTCATTGTTGTTTGGCGGCCCGGGCTGGATTCTAACCCACCACCTTAGGTGTATGTGGCTGGCACCTTAGCCACTTGAGCCACAGGCGCCGAGCCAGAAACCCTGGGGGTTTTTTAACGCAAATGAAAATTTTAAAAAGATGTGCCAAGCACTTACTGTGTGTATGTGTGTGCGTGTATTTAAATCCTTATAACTTTATGAACAAGTACAAGTAAGAAGAAAAGGTTCAGAGTGATTAGATTGTTCTAGTAATGTGCCAAGCACTTACTGTGTGTATTTCAATCCTTATAACTTTATGAACGAGTACTTTACAGATAAGAAGAAAAGGTTCATGCTCGGCGCCTGTGGCTCAAGCGGCTAAGGCACCAGCCACATACATACAACTAAGGTGGCGGGTTTGAATCGAGCCCAGGCCCGCCAAACAACAATGACGGCTGCAACCAAAAAATAGCCGTGCGTTGTAGTAGGCGCCTGTGGTCCCAGCTACTTGGGAGGCTGAGACAGGAGACTCGCTTGAGCCCAGGAGTTGGAGGTTGCTGTGAGCTGTGAGGCGACGGCACTCTACCCAGGGGGATAGCTTGAGGCTCTGTCTCAAAAAAAAATAAAAATAAAAATAAGTTCTAGAATTAGTAAGAGATGAACAGTTTGAATCCACATCTATCAGGAAAGAGCTTTTAACCCAGAAACTCAGGTTCTTTCTTGGTAGATTTTAACTTTTCTTCTCTATTTACACAGTAGTGTATAAGACATCATTAGTGAATTAATTTTTTTTTAATCTGGACCCTAATAGATTATAAAAGTAGGAAGGGGCAAGAGGAAGATACCATGAAAGGAGCTTCCTATCCAGCCAAAAGAATCCTTCATACCTGATTTTTTTTTCTTTTTTTTTTTTTTTTTGAGACAGAGTCTCAAAACAGAGTCTCACTTGGTCACCCTTGGTAGAGTGCTGCGGCATCTTAGCTCACTCTTAGGTTCAAGTGATCCTCTTGCCTCAGCCTCCCAAGCAGCTGGGACTACAAGCGCCTGTCACAATGCCTAGATATTTTTTTTATACACGGGGTCCCATTCTGGCTCAGGCTGATCTCAAACCTGTGAGCTCTGGCAATCTACCTCTCAGCCTCCCAAGTGCTGGGATTACACATGTGAGCCACTGCACCCGGCTCATACCTGATTTCTTTTTAAGAAAACTATGTTTCACACCTACTGAATACTCAACCCTAAGAGTAGTAATAAGAAAAACAAATTAAAATTCTGAAATTATATTTTAACAAGGTGATAGATACAGTGATAGAGATATGTACAATTAAATGTTTTATTTTTATTGATTTTTTTCCTTTTTTTTATAGACAATGTCTAGCTCTTGCTCAGGATGGTCTCAGACTCCTGAGCTCAAGGAATCCACCTGCTTCAACCTCCCGGAATGCTGGGATTATAGGCATGAGCCACCACGCTCAGCCCAATTAAATGTTGTAAATATCAGTGATTATCGAGGACAGGCTTAGAAAGGCTCAAACAGTAAATGCCCAGAAAATGCAGAAAAGGGAAAATTTCATGTCAATGTTGAGAGGCTTTCTGGGAAAGGTGAAGACAGAGTCAAGTGTTAGAGAAGAGGAGAAAAAGTAAAGACAGGCAAGGTGGCTCATGCCTATAATCCAGGCACTCTGAGAGGCCAAGGCCGGTGGATTATTTGAGCTCACGAGTTTAAGAACAGCCTGAGCAAAAATCAAGCCCTCGTCTCTACTAAAAATAGAAAAACTGACTGGGCAGTGCCTGTGACTTAGTGAGTAAGGCACCGGCCCCATATACCGAGGGTGGCGGGTTCAAACCCGGCCCTGGCCAAACTACAACAAAAAAATAGCCAGGCACTGTGGCGGGCGCCTGTATAGTCCCAGCTACTTGGGAGGTTGAAACAAAAAAATCGCCTGGGCCCAGGAATTGGAGGTTACTGTGAGCTGTGACACCACAGCACTCTGCCAAGGGCGATAAAATAAGACTCTGTCTCTACCAAAAAAAAAAAATAGAAAAACTGAGGCAAGAGGATCACTTGTGCCCAAAATGGAGGTTGCTGTGAGCTGTGACACCACAGCAGTCTACACAGAGCGACAGCTTGAGACTCTGTCTCAAAAAATAAATAAAGAAAAGTAAAAGAGAGGATATGACAGCAAATGAATACAATACACTCCCCACATCTATGCCAGGAAAGTGAAATTAATACAGATTCAATCTAGAGTATACAAAGAAAAAGACTATATACTAAGAAGCTAAAAGCACTATCTCTGCAATACTGTGGGACTGGATCCTAGTTACATACTAGCTCTAAGACTTTGGACAATTACTTGAGCTCTCTGAGCCTTAGTTTCTTCATCTGGAAAATGGGGATAATAAAAACCCTATGTTATATAGATTTAGTTATCCACATTACACTCTTTGCCTTTTATTCTGGAGGACTTTTGATTTGGGTAAAATCTAAATGGAAAAAGCATGCCCTGCGCAACCAGGGTAAATGAAGGCATGTGAACTGAGCTCCACCACTAGGTTCATCCTCCAAGGGCTTTGGCTCTTGATCAATAGACACAAAGATGAGCACCTCAATGATGAGAGCACTGGCCCCATGCACAGGACCAGCGGGTGTGAACCCAGCCCAGGACTGATAAACAGGAAAAAAAAAAAAAGTTGATTCTTCTTGGCCTGGGGCAGTGGCTAGTGTAATCCTAGCACTCTGGGAGGCCAGGCTGGTGGATTGCCTGAGCTCACAGGTTCAAGACCAGCCTGAGCAAGAGCAAGAGCCCCATCTCTAAAAATAGCTGGGCATCGTGGCAGGCGCCTGTAGTCCCAACTATTTGGGAGGCTGAGGCAAGGGAATCACTTGAGCTCAAGAGTTTGAGGTTGCTGTGAGCTATGATGCCACGGCACTCTACCCAGGACAACAGCTTGAGGTTCTGTCTCAAAATAAATAAATATAATAATAATAATAATTTCACTTTGTTAAGGGTAAAAGATGTCATTTATTATTTCTGATTTACATAAGGGTACAAACAATTAGGTTACAATTTTGTGTTAGATAAGGTCCCTGTTGTAGCTGTGTCCTGCACCCAGGAGGTGTGCCATGTACCCTTACATCGTGCCCATTAATTGGGAAAACATGATTCCCCCTTCTTTCTCCCCTCCCCTCCTCTTTATTCTCCCTCTCTCCACAATTTGAATTAAATTGAGTTTTCCTCTTATGTCTGGGTGAATTAGTTCATCTACTGGCTTCATATTACTATTAATAATTTCACTTTTGGGCCGGGTGTGGTAGCTTACACTTGTAATCCTAGCACTCTGGCAGGCTGAGGCAGGTAAACTGCTTGAGCTCAGGAGTTAGAGACCAGCCTGAGTAAGACTGAAACCTCATCTCTACTAAAAAAAAAAAAGAAAAAGACATAGCCAGGCATTGTGGGGGGGGCCTGTAGTCCCAGCTACTTAGGAGGCTGAGGCAAAGAGATCTTGAGCCCAGGACTTTGTTTTTTTTTTTTGAGACAGAGCCTCAAGCTGTCCCCCTGGGTAGAGTGCCATGGCTTCACAGCTCACAGCAACCTCCAACTCCTGGGCTCAAGCGAGTCTCCTGCCTCCGCCTCCCAAGTAGCTGGGACCACAGGCGCCCGCCACAAGGCCCGGCTATTTTTTGGTTGCAGCCGTGATTGTTGTTTGGCGGGTCCGGGC